TACATATACGGAAATATATGACTAGGTGTCAAAATGAGAAGTCACAAGAAGTAACAAGTTTAGGGAAAAGGGACCAATATGAATAAAAGTAGCCAAGGAATGCCTCTGCACAGGGAAGGTCTTGCACTCAGAAAACCAAGCCGGTTATGAGAGGCCTCACATCAGAAGAAGAAAACAACGTAAGGGACTGAACAAAGGCTTGGGGGTGGAGGTAGGGGCTGCACAGATTACTTGAGGAGGACAACAAAGAGACTGGCTTGATGAGAGCCAAGGGTTTTTATTCCAGATGGAAAAATAACAATTGCGGATCTATGGATAATCTTAAGTACCTTGTTAAGTTTAACTTTATTTTAGAGGAAGACTTTAGACTTTAAAGACTTATGAAAAATGAGATATGGTGAAACTTGAGGTTTTGGAAGAATTTCTCTGTAAACTTCCATGGAGTTAATGTCAGGAAATGGAAAACATTTTAACTCTCCCACAGAGCTCAGCGGTAGAGCAAAGTGGTTAAAAGGGCCGGTTCTGGAGTCACAATGCCTGCCTGGATCCAAGTCCCATTTCTGCTACCACACAGAAGCAGTGAGACATGGAGCAAGTTACTTAAACTTTTCTGGGCCTCAGTTTCTTCAGAGTTTAGGTTCCCGTGGGGAATGAAAAAGCTCCCACCTAGAGCACTTACAGTAACTCAGTGACCATCACACAATAAGAATACATAAATACTAGATCCTCTGTTTAGAATTACCAGGGGTGACTGCTCACTATAAGTTATCAAATAAAATATTGAGAGAATCTCATTATCCCACAAGAAAATTTATTACCTGAGGTTCATGGAAACCAGATATTTGAAATGTCCCTTGCAATGAGTCATTAACTTTTGGATTTTGTTAATACCAAGTGTAAACATCTTATCAAGAGGTATGTTGCTTAAATGGGAAAGCACACTGGCTAGGGAATCCACAGACTGGTTACACTGGGTAAAGCTGACCTCAGAATTTCAAGTATCTCAACTGTAAAATAAGGCCTTGGTGGCCTCAGCCAAGTTTGCAATTCTACTGATGTTACACAGTGACAATGCACACAGCTTAGGTTAACTGATGAAGTGCTGTAAAAGGAAACCTATTAGTGGATGCAAATTTCACTTCCACAGGGAGAGAGCTCTAAAACCAGAGACTGTGGATGAGTCTCCAGCATGCTGAACTGATGCTCTTGAGGAAACTCACGTCTGATGGGGCTGCGCCACCTGCCTTGCCCTGGGATGGAGGTCTTTCCTACAGCACAGTGGAGGCCTCAGCGCTTACTTCTGATGATTCTTTGCCCTTCCTAATAGTTGTCCTGTGGCAAATGTGCCCTCAATGTGACACTGACAAATTTGACTGTAAACATCTGATTGCCCTTGCCCCATAGCCATTCCTTCTTCCAGTCTCTTGCAACAACTGGTCCCTGTTTTGTCTTATCAATGGATAGGTTTGTGGTTGTTTCTCGTTGCTAACAGAGTGGCTATTATTTACCACACTGCCTGAGCCTCATTATTGCCACACCCTTTGCTTTTTCCCTTTCCTGACATACTGTGTTTTTGTCCAGTTGCCATCTTTGTGTGACAAGGCCAGCTTTCTAAGAGCACCAAATTGCCCTCATCATCCCATCAGACCTCCTCTGTCCCTCCCTTCTCATGGAGACCTGTGCTCATCGGGTTCTGAGCGCTTCTTGGCAGGCACCTGGGACTGCCTACCATAAGCAAGAGTGTGGGATTGCAAATCAGAGAATCCAGGTCTCTGTCACCATTCTGCCACTTATTAGCTGTGTGGCCTTGGGTAAGTATGTGCCTTAGTGTCTTGTTATATACAATATGTATATGTATATACACTATGTTATATACAATATGTATCTATTTCTCAGGACTGCAATGAGAAGTAAAGGAATGCATGAAGGGGTAAAACCAAAGGCTACTACTCTGAAATGATTTCAGCTCCTTCTAGGAACAAAGAGTGTTCCAGACCCTAGTGTGCTGGAAGGCTGGCCTCCAGACAGCTAGCATTTTTCTTTATTTAATCCACTAAAAGCCTGAGAGGAATTCTGAACCTTGTGCCCAAATAAGCTCTCTGGAATAAGAATCTCTCTTGCACTAACCATATTTATACAGCCCTTTTCAACTTAAGAGATTATTTATGGCTGGAATGTTACATAAATCAACTCTTCCAAAAATAATATTTAACATTCCTTTTCTTTCTCATAAAAATGAAAATAAGGAAAAGTAAAAAAATTTTAAAAATCACCCAAATCCCACCATTAAGGTGACAGTTTTGACATTTTAATGAACCTCTTTCTAGGCTTTCTTCTGAGTTTTTAAAAAACATGTAACATATTATAGATGTACATATTATTTAGCAACTGATCTTTTCCATGTAATAATAGACTGAACATTTTCTCAGGCCAGGTGTAGTGGCTCACACCCAGCACTTTGGAAGGCCAAGGTGGGAGGACCACTTAAGGCTAGGAGTTCCAGACCAGCCAGGGCAACATAGCAAAACCCTGTCTCTACAAAAAATAAAAATGTCTCCACAAAAAATAAAAACATAGCCATGTATGGTGACACCTGTTGTCCCATCTACTCTCAAAGCTGATGGCAGGATAATTGCTTGAGCCCAGAAGTTTGAGGTTACAATGAGCCTGACTGGACCACTGCACTCCAGCCTAGGCAACAGAGCAAGACCCTGTCTCTTAAAAAAAAAAATTTCCTCAATATTTCAACTCTTAGCTTTCAACTGGAAGATATTTTAAATGTATTTAATTAATTCACATGTGGAATAGTGAGCTAAAAAGGTATCATAGACCAACACAAAATTTTATAGATCACACTTTGTGGTTTATTTTAGAACCCAGGAAGAGTTATGTTTATAACAAAAACTTGTATGTTTTAGAATTCAATGGAGAAATGCAAAAATGCTAGAAAAATAAAGCCAAGTATATATAAATTCAATACTTTATAGACTATACGATCTAGAATGCCAAAATTCTCTCTCAATGCAAACTTTTTCAGATAAACTTAGGGTGCTTGAAACTCAGGGTTTTCAAATTAATTGAAAATATAACTAAGACTCTTGGAATTACTTCTCAAGTCAAACTTGTAACAGAAACAAAGAAATGGTATATTCTAGAAAAAAAGGATAAAATCTAATATTCTATAAAGCGATAACCAGTAGGTTACATGTCACTATAAATCCAAGCAGTAGAGTTAAACTGAGGAAATATGAAAAAATACTGTTCACTATAGCTCATTTGCAACTTTAATTTTTTATTATTTTAGAGACAAGGTCTCACTCTGACACCCAGGATGGAATGCAGTGGCATGATCATAGCTCACAGCAGCCTTCAACTCTGGGGCTCAAGTGGTCCTCTTACTTCAGTCTCCTGAGTAGCTGGGACTACACGTATGTGCCACCATGCCCAGCTAATTTTCATCTGCAACTTTAAGGAGCTCTAAAAACCTGAGTATGATTCATTTCAATATGAAGACAACGGAGACAGGAGAAAAGCACAGATTCCCTCCTACCTTTAATAAACTGGGGAGACTATTAACAAAATGGACTCTTAAAAAGCCATTACCAGTCTTTTGCCCTAAGATAAATATTGGTATTCATTTTCTATTTTTAAATATTTATGCCAAAGATAGAAACTAGACTGCCAAATGTAGGGGAATATACAAAAGAACTCTGACAAACCAATGAGAAAAAACAATCAACAAAGGACTTGATCAGTCAAGTCACACAAGAAATTCAAAGGGTCAATTAACATGAAAAGACATTCAACCTCATTAATAAAGAAATACAGGCCAGGTGTGGTGGCTCACACCTGTAATCCTAGCACTCTGGGAGGCCAAGGAGGTGAGAGGATCACTTGAGGCCAGGAGTTCAAAATTAGCCTGGGCAATATAGTGAAACTCCATCTTAATAAAAAATTTTAAAAAATTAGCTGGGCACAGTGATGCGTGCCTAAGTAGCTAGTAGTCCTAGCTACTTGGAAGGCTAAGGCAAGAGGATTACTTGAGCCCAGGAATTCGAGGTTGCAGTGAGCTGTAATCGCACCACTGCACTCCAGTCTAGGCAACACAGCAAGACCCTATCTCCAAAGGGGGAAAATACAAATTTAAACAAGAGACAACAGTTTTCTGTTTCTGAAATTAGCAAAAATTTAAAAGATAGAAAAATATGGATGAATGTACATACACTATCAAACTCTTAGAGGGCAACTGGCAATAATACCAATATTTAAAATGTGCATGTCCTCTCAGGAATCTTACTTTTATAAATTTTTCCTACAGAAATAGTAACCTAAGGCATAAAGATGTACATACAACCATGTTCACAGAAACATTATTTCTAACAGACAAAAACTAGAAAATACCTACAGTACCTAAATGGACTTATCACTTAGGGAATGGTTAAGTAAACTATGCAATGTCCATACTAAGAAATTTTACTCAGCTTTAAAAAGAATCACACGGATATTAAACAATAACGTGGAGGATGTTTATGACATATTGCTTTGTGAAAAATTCAGCAAACTGTACAACCACACGGGATGAGCCCATTTGTTGTAGAAACTAAAAATGATACATATCATATATCTATTTGTTTTAAAATATTTAAATATGTACAGAAAATGATCTGGAAGGATAAACCCTAAATCATTTCTAGTGTTTCTCTCTGTGATTACAGATATTTCATGGCAAGGGTTGGGGGCTAAGTTTTTATTTTATAGTCTTCTCTGTTTGAATTTTTGTTATAAGCAGAAATATTACTTTTATAATTAAAAATAACCAATGGGTTATCAGTTCTCTCAAAAAACTAGAATGTAACGTATTATCACACTGAAATAAAAAATGTACTTCAACATGTCCACTAGTAATTTGGATAGTTTACATGCTTCGTAAGTAAGCTGGGTAGTTACAGCATCGTTATTTAACATAACGACTAAACATCAAATGTAAATACTCCGCTTACCTCTTTAGGTGATAAATTTTGTGTGTATACTGTCCCTTTTCTCCATCCTTCTCATAAGGTTCATTCTTTAAGACTTCAATTCCTTCACCACCGCCAGTCTCATTTTTACTAGCTTCTGCAACAGAGTAAAGCTGCCCAACCTGATACTGAAATTTCAAAGAGCACAGAATTTTAGTAAGCCGGCAGTAACTGCATAAATTTCCTATGCTAAAATCTTAATATAGAAGATATAGAAAAGCATATCCACACTATTCAGCACATATGTTCTATATGAAAACACAACTCAAATTAGAAATTAATGTGTTTAGAAAGTCAAACACCAGATGATCATACAGTTTTTATGAAACTCTATATTTTATAGGATTTCCATTATTCAAAAAAAAAAATTGCCAGTTACAAACACTATAGTGTTTTATACTATCCATTTATCAAGAAAATGTCTTGCCACTTGGTTCAACTTTTGAACAATACACATTTGTACTTTCCAAAGCATTTTCACATCTATTATAGCGCATTCAGTTTCACAAAATTCCAAGGAAAGTATGGCAAGAATATAACTGTCACTTTGCCAATTAAAGCTGAGCAACCAGAATATTGATCTTGATACAGAGGAGGGACATATGGTATAATAACAAAAGCCTGAGAATCCAAAGAATCACTCATGACAGTCCCAATTGTTATAGACCTCTGGGATCTTTTTTCCCCATGACTTATGTATTACATGCCCAATTTGGCCCTACCTTAGCCAACCAGAAACAGTGACCGGGTGCCCAGGATCAGAACTGTTAATTGTGAAGTTCTTCAGTAAACAGAAATTGTTTCTAAAGTCTTATAAATACACAAGCATTATCATAAGAGGCAGGAAATTGCTGGTAGCAGTTTCTATTTCATTTAAAGTGAACCAGAATTCTCAGCGGTCTGCATCAATACCTGTGAGTCAACAGTACTGTACTATGCCAGTCAAGCCACTACATCCAACAAATATTGTAAAAGTTCTTGTGTTCTAATTTGTTCCAGTGACTCAATCATGGCACTATTTCCAAACTTTACAAATTTGGCTACATTTCTTCCTCCCAATGAAGATAGCCTGAAGAAGTGTTTTTCCTCTTTATAAGCATATTTACACGAAAAGCTATAAAAATCTATCTCTAAGAACTTGTAATTCAAAACTAGCATTTTATTTGAGGGACAAAAAATAGGGGTAGTTGTTAGCTCAATAAATATTCATACCTAAAAAGCTCATAGGGACATGATGCTATCTTGCAGGTTAATTATATTTAAAAACCCAGACCCACACACAATCTTACTCAATTTGGAAGGGTTTGGGAAGATGAAACCAAAACTATTTCTTAAATGCTCCAAAAATAAATTTCTGTAGAAACTGCAGAGAGGACTGTATTTCTCCTTTTGGCTTTCCATGATACAACACTTGGGTTAGTCTACTCATGCCACAGTCCTTAAATATCATCTTTAAAATGTACTTTTCAACACTGTCATATTCTAAAACAGGATTAAAATGTCTCTAAGTCAAAAGGTAAATTTCATTTTGGTCAGAACACACAGTAACAAAAATATACAAGAAACAACATAGTATCCAGAAAATGTTATTAACAGACTGATATTTTGTGGCATGCTAGTAGGTTTTCTCTCATTCTCATTTTTTAAGAATAACAAATTGACACAGAAGACATGTTTATTAAATTCAAGTATAACAAAAAGCTAAGATTATTTTGGGTAACAATACCAAGACTCAAAGATTTCAACAAGCTGATTCAACCAGCTGAAACCAAAAGAAAAAATTTAACCAAAACAAATATCAATTTCCACATTCAAGTTCAAACAACCATAAATCCACCAAAGATGACTTAAAAAAAAAAGAAAAAAAAATAAAAAAAAAAAAAAAAAAAAAGTTCAAACAACCAATTGTGCAAATAAAGAATAAGGGTGCCTGGCAGGTCTGGAGTGTGCTTGATACAGTGAAACCTCAGGCACTACTGAGATATATACAGCTGTGTTCAAGTCTACACTAAACAGTGCCAGCTCCTCTTTTTTAGTTCCTGCATTCTTTTCTGTCTTCTGTCAGCTGTGACTTCTTAGGTTATCAGTTTGTTTTGTCTCACTTCCAATTCACTGCTTCTAATCTACCGTTAGCTCTAGGAAAACTAGATAACTGAGCAAATGGGAACTATGTGCAAGTTATAGCAGGGCTCATAGGGTTTTATGAGTTTTGCTACACATATCATGATTTCTCAGAAGACTTTCCTGCTTATATCCTCATTCTTGGCTATACCACAACTGCAGGACATGCAAGTGTTAAATAGGTGATATGTGTCTACATTACACGCAGACTGTGGAACACAAGTGCTCAGTTTTGTGCTGGTCAGACCATTTCCGGAATACTGTTTTCAGTTCAGATCAACAATTACAACATATGCAGTAATGACATCAACTGGTAAGGAAGTCTAGAGGTCATATTGTTAGTAAATTAATATTAGACCAAATGAATGTGCTGGGAATATTTAACCTTGGGACCTTTTAAGTTGGAACAAAAGGGACTGAGAAGAGGTAGGGGAGAGCTGCCATCAGAAAACCTATAGGGTTACCACATGCAAGACAAATCATGCTTATTTCCCATTGCTCAAGTGGGATGATATATAGTCAAACATTACACTAAAGCAGATTTTGGTTTAAAGTAAAGACAAACGTTTAAAATGTCCAACAGTAAAGTAGGCTGCTTTTCTAAGGAGCAAGCTACTTAACTTTAAAGTGCTTAAGTTTAGGCTGGAGCTTCATTTCTCTGGGATGTTGGAGAAAGAATTCCTGCACTAGACCAGAGGTTAAGCAACATTCTTTAGACTCTTCCAAAACAAGGCAGTTAACAAGGAATTCCATTTGTAATTAATTATGCATAACACATCATAATTCATTTTGTCACATAAGCTGGAATGAAAAGGTATAAATGGATAGTAGGAAAATACCAGTTTAGATCAACCTAGTGAAATAAACTACCTATACCAATAAAATGATGCAGAAGAAGAAAGACTTACCTCCTGAACAGAACATGGCAAAACCACACGGCTAAAAAGACAAAAGAAAAAAATATATACATTACATATGAACTAGTCAGCTTTAAAACAGATCTGTAAAGAGCTTTTACCTTAAATTCAATTATACCATATAAGAAGACACTTAAATCCAAAAGTATAAGGATATCATTTTTGGAAGAGGGTCTTTGCAACGTCTATAGCCCTAAATACAGGTTAAGCTAGGAAACCAAAACAATGGTTCCTGGATCTAATGATCATTTGCTTTTAGTGTCTTCATTGTGCTGGGACCACAACGTGCAATAGCAGAGATTCTTGTGAAGAGTACAGAAACATGAGAAAACTCATCATTGAAAACTGCAGGGTACAAAATGTATTATTTGTAGATTGGTCAAGACGCCCTCATGAAATTTTTAATGTGGTTTCATTCTCCATCTATATACGGTGCATTTTGTTTTTATGATACGTTTCTCAGAATACATGTCTTTTTTTGTTTTTTTTTGAGACAGAGTCTCGCTTTGTTGCCCAGGCTAAAGTGGCGTCAGCCTAGCTCACAGCCATGGCGTCAGCCTAGCTCACAGCAACTTCAAACTCCTGGGCTCAAGCGATCCTGCTGCCTCAGCCTCCTGAGTAGCTGGGACTACAGGCATGCGCCACCATGCCCGGCTAATTTTTTCTATATATATTAGTTGGTCAATTAATTTCTTTCTATTTATAGTAGAGGCGGGGTCTCGCTCTTGCTCAGGCTGGTTTCAAACTCCTGACCTCGAGCAATCCGCCCGCCTCTGCCTCCCAGAGTGCTAGGATTACAGGCGTGAGCCACCCCGCCCGGCCTAGAATACGTCTTGAATATCATGAATGAACGCTTCCAGAAACTGTTCCCCCACTACTCAATTATCATCCTCGAATTTAGTAAGATAAAATAAGGGGCCCTTTAAAATTAACATGAAAAAACTTGGCCAGGTGCAGTGGCTCACACCTGTAATCCTAGCACCAGAGGAGGCCAAGGCGAGCAGACTGCTGGAGGTCAGGAGTTCAAAACCAGCCTGAGAAAGAGCGAGACCCCGCCTCTACTATAAATAGAAAGAAATCAACTGGCCAACTAAAAATATATAGAAAAAATTAGCCGGGCATGGAGGCGCATGCCTGTAGTCCCAGCTACTCGGGAGGCTGAGGCAGGAGGATTGCTTGAGCCCAGGAGTCTGAGGTTGCTGTGAGCTACACTGACTCCATGGTACTCACTCTAGCCTGGGCAACAAAGCGAGATTCTGTCTCAACAAAAAAAAATACGAAAAAACTTTACCATAGAGACTACCTTGAACCTTATAAATATAATAATCCCTTCCAGGGCAGATTCAATATGAGGTAGATGTGTCTGATCCTGTCCAAGGGAGTTTGTTATTGGACATACCAAAAGGATTATCATTATAGCTGCATCTTATCTACAATACAGTCCTAAATATGAATTCCCAAAACAATATTATGGTCTAGTATTTTATGTCAGAATACTGCATTTTGGGAGATTTCTTAACTTACTTCCACCATAAATTCTCAAAACCAAGACCTTCCCTGTCTCACAATAATAGCTGGTTCCAAGACAGCAACTTACTTTTGGGGGGATGGAGGAGACATGGTTCTTCTCAGACTTTTCTCTCCTCATCTTACACAACTGTCATTTTATAGAAAATTCCTAATAGCTTTCCTCATTCCAATTTTTCTTCAGCTGCCATTTCTCTTTTTATTATTTTCTTATAGTAAGAGTCATTTATTGTTTGTATTAGTGACAATCTTTTCAATCTAGACATTGTTTAATAGTCTTTCTTATACATAAATATGAAATGAAAGAATATTACTCACAATATTATATCTAGTTTTCATTCCAGCTACACTTTCTACCCACTCCTCTCTCCCTATTCTCGTCAATCATTTATGCCTTAACACCCACATCACCTTAGTCTCCAAATGTCCAAAACACATCTCCTGTATTCTCTCCTCCTAGACTACTGGGAGTCACTCAACACTCTTTGTCTTTCTGATAATAGTCATTCAAAAACAATGAACATTCTCAAAGTCACAATGGTTAATAATTTCCATTCTCCATCAAGAATAAACTTCTTGTAAGTCCTTCCATACCTAAAAATCTCTAATCATCTTAGCTGTCTCCTCAGGGAGCACACTAACTTGCTCACTGTCTTAGTAAACAACAAACTGGGGGAGGGGAGGCTAGAACGATACAGATTGGGAGTATATTTTCAGGGCCTAGAATAATATGGTAAGAAATTATTAAATTCATTAGGCAACAAGGAATCCTGGGAAGTTGTTCCAAGAGGTAAATGGCAATTAAAGCTGACCTGAGGAAGTCATCTGCAGGTGCTTAAAAGCACTGAGAAGCAGAATGGGGCAAAGCCACCTTTTGGAAGGCTGGGAAAAGGTTATTAACAAAGGCCTGACCAAGATGATGGACTGTAGAGGGAAGGGATAGAAGGGGAAGAGTTAAAAGTCTTCCTTGAAGTTTCACAAAACCAAAGAATCACAGTTGAGTAATTTCAACAAATACTCACTTAGCAGGAAGATCCCCATTTTTATTTAACTACACTTTCAGAGTAATTCCTTTCACAAAATTAAAGTGACTGATTAACATTCTGACGAGTCAGGTAACTTCTCCAAGATTTGCTTAACCAAAAAGTAAAAGCGAAAAGGAACCTATTGGTTTTGTTTTTCCATTATTCAACTTCTAGTACAATCTGAAAATTTTCAAGCATCTTTGAAAATAAGTTTCCAAATAGAATCAGCAAGTAGTTCTTTAAAACTAATGGTATTTGTCTATTGTTTAAGTAATAACTTGAAAGGAACCTGCCCACCCCTGAAGTCATTTCTAACCTTTTAATCCTTATCAAAAATGGATGAATTTTATAGGACAATAAACATTTGCCAAAGTATTTTAGTTACCAGTATCTTCACACAGGAATGACCTATTTATTGCTTGATCAAAACAATTTTAGAAAGTTGACTTGAGAGTAGAAGAGTCATTTTCATTCAAGAACACTGAAGATTTACAGTGTGCTAGCTAGATGAGATGCTGTGCTAGACACTGGGAACACTTAAAATAAGAAACAGCCTCTACCTTCAAAACGTCTAAAGGGAGAAGTAAAACCTAGGGGAAATGTATGTGTTGGAGTGAACATCAAGACATTTAATTTATTAAAAAGAAAGAAAGAAAGAAAGAAATTTAATTTATAACTCCTTAAAAAAAGACTTTGGGCACAACACTTTAATATTCATTACCTCAGTACACTTACATTTTTATAATGAAAATAAATGTTTGCAAAAAGCATAGTGTGCAAATTCCCAATGGAAACTGCTTTCCATGAGTTAGTTTGATACTACTCGCATAACTGTCCACGGGATCTACTGAACAGTTACTTCACATTTTTGGAGGTAAGGAACTAACTAAAGAAAAATGACTAGATCTCAGATCTAAAAACACTTCTGAAACTCACTGGCTATGTAAGTTGAGCCAAGTCAATTTCCTTCTATCCTATTTGCATCATTTGTCTTAATGTCTGCTACTTACCTACAACAGAGAGATAACATTTGCACAATACATTATATAAACATGTAACAAATTTTTATATAAAACCAATGTTCAGTACTATAAATAAGCTTCATCACGAAATTTCACTCCAAAACAAAAGGCAAAAAATGTCTTCTCAAAATTCCTGTCACTGATCAAAGTTATAATTTTTCATCAATTTATTAACAAATATTTACTGACTACCTCCTATGTCCCATGGACTAGTTCAAAATCTGGGGATATGGAGGTGAGCAAAGCAGGCAAATTCATGGAACTTACATGCAGAAAGAGAACACAGCTAGAAGGACAGAAAAAAATAAGTAGTGTCGCATGTTAGATGGCAATAAGTGCTATGCAGACCAATAAAGGAAAGAAAACACCAATTGGTGGGAGTGGCAATTAGGTCTTCAGAGGATTCCCTGAGAAAACGACATTCCAGCAAAGACCAGGAAGGAGGTGAGTCAGTGAACTAAGGGAAGAGCACTTCAAGCAAGGGGAACAAAAGCAAGCAGAAAGGTGCTGAAGGGCGCTTATTCCAAAATAGTGGAGGAACAGCAAGGAAGCTTGTTAGGCAGGAATGGGAGAGGAAAAAATAGGAAATGAGATCACAGCAGAAAAGAAAACAGTGTAAGGCTTTATAGACTGTTGTAGAAACTTTGATTTTTATTCTTGGCGATACAGAGGGTCTTTGGAAGGTATAAGCAGAGAAATGACATCAGTGACTTGTCAAGGGAGGTTTGGAAACACTACAAATAAGGTGTCTGGAGATAGCTATATTAGGCAAAAAGCACTTTTAAGAATTTAAAATGAAAAAGAAATGTGAAAAACAACAAAGAATGGGCCATCCTCGAACTCCCTAGTTGCCCAAGGGGCGCTGACGACACGAACCACCTATGACAGTTGAACATTCACTTCCAGACAGTCCTTGTCGGTGCAAAAAGCTGTAACTTTTCAACAAAATCACTTGACCAGTCTGATGCACCTGGAAACCCCTCTATTTGACAGAACACGTGTGAACTCCTCACTTCAACTTAGTGAAGTGGGTGGGGCCCAAAGTGTCACCCCATCTTAACATAAGGAAACTAAGACTCAGAGCAGAGATGGCTCTCTCATGAAGTCATCTGAGAAGCCCCGAGGAGAGTGTGCAGGTTTCCTAGGCTCCGAACTCCTGCATGAACTTCAGGGCGCCAACGTCCCACCTGGAGTCCTGGCACCAAGGCTGCCTTCACCTGGCAAACCCATCTCCCGCCGGTTACAGGGAAGCTCCACCCCAGACAACAAATCACTGTCAGACCCAACGTGTCTTGGCGATACACCCTCAGACCACGGCTCCGTCCCACCTACCGGCCCAGACCCAGACGGGAGGTGGAGGGTTGCTGAGAAGGCGGGTCCCAGCGGAAACTCGCGGCCGCGCCTTCCTCGGCCATGCGCTCGGGCCTGGACCCAGCCGCCTGCGCCCGGGGGCAGAGGGCGGCCGTGCTTCCACGGCCAAGCCCGGAGGGTCGGGCAGCGCCCAGCGGAGGCGCCTCGGGTGGGCCGGGGGCGCGTGCCGGGGGGAGGGGGCGCGCAAAAGCAGCAGCTGGCCCGGGGCTCCCTCCGCCTTAGGAATATCCTGCCACTTCTCAATCAACAAATCTCCCCCCACCGCCGTCGCGGACCCTCGCTCGCGCCCACAGACCCACTCACAATTCCTTAATCAGCACCATCTTCCCGGAACCCCCTCACAGCTGCCGCCGCTACCACCGCCGCCGCCGCCGCTACCGCCTCTCACGGCGTCTGCGCGGCCCCGCCTCCCTGCCCCGGGAGCCACCGCCGCGCCTGCGCGCCTACACCCTTCCGCCGCGACCCGTCGCGTCAGCGCGCGAGGCGGCCTAGCTCCGCCCAGTTCCTCGCCCCACCCCAGGCACACGAGGCCTCTACTGCGGCTGCGCGGCCCGCTGGAGCACGTGCGGCTTCTACTGCGGCTGCGCGACCTCGGCGCGCGCGCATGCTCGTCGGCGTCCTAGGGCTCCTCCCTCCAGCCTAAGTCCCTCGGGGCGACTGTGCTGCCTACGCTTTCCGGTGAGTTTTCTAGTTGGTTCCGTGGTGTAGCGGTGACGAGCTTTCAACTCTGTGTCTCTGCTCTGAGAAGCGGCCCACCTTCTTGACCTACACCTCACTCCTGACGTCCGTATTAAAGAGCTCTGACGGGTTCTGGAGGCCGACGACGCTGCGTTCCGTTTCCCCCCGGGGCCCTGTGAGCTCAGAGCCCGCAGGAGGATGTGTCCGCCTGTCCCGCGGCTCTCGTGGGGGGTCCGGAAGCCCCGTGAGTGCGGCTGTCTGACGGACGCTCACCTTGCTAGGGCCGGCGGCTGTGGCCACCCGAGCTTCCCCGCGCCCAGACCCACCCTGCCCGAGAATCCAGAATCACACACAGGTGCCCCGACAGGGTGAGCGTCCAACGCTCCTGACGAAGTCCCCTTTGGGGAAAAGAGGCGCTTGCCCTTGAGACCCAGAAAAGGGGTCCGTCCTGGGAGGACATTAGCGCCGTCACAGCGAATGCCTACCGGTTTCTAAGCCAAAACGTGGACCTTTGGATGAGTTCCTAGCGCAGGGGTTACTGCCTTACTCTGTGCCACGCACAGGTCTGGGCAACAGGGACACCTAGGAATAGAATAGACCCAGTTCCTGTCCTCAAGAAGCTCACAGTCTAGAGGAGGCAGTAATTCACTTGGAAACGAGAGAATTTGGGAGTAGTGGTAAGTGCTGTCATGTGAACAAAGTACAGGCAGAGGACTTAAGAGGACAGCCTCAGGAGGCCGCGTTTGAGCCTAACCTGTGAAGATGGGAGAGGGGCATTCTAGTTAGAGGAAAATAGGCTTCAAGGCAGGAGCAAGTTTAGGATATTTAGGGAGCAGGTAGAGGGCAGGTGTGGCTAGAACATCTTAGGGAGGAAAATAAGCTGGGACCAGTTAGACCACAATTAGCGTTCTGTACCAACCCTGGAAAGATGTTGAAAGGTTAATTAAAAGAATAAAAAAAATTAAAACTTTTCTGTATGAATCTCTCATATGTTATACTGGAATACGACTGCTGAGTTTTGGCCACCTCAAAAAAGTAGTGGAAGTGAAATATATACCAAAATGCTAGAAACTTCCTCCTGTGGCAGTGTCTGGGCGTCATTGAGTTTATGCTGTATGTGAATCGTTATGCTAGTTTTTGTGAGGGCCGGGATGTAAGGAGATACGTGCTTGCTCTTTCAAGGAATTTAGAAGCTGAGAATCCCTTGGTTTGATTGGACACCTGTTTTATGCCAGGTATTGTGCTGGGTAATGCAGATGCTTTATTCACCTTTAGAAAACATTATGAGATAGTATTTTAGCATGCTTTAGAAAGGGGAAAAATGAGATTCAGATAGCCAAGCTAAGTGACTTGTGCAAAAATTACCCAGCCTGTTTGCAGAGGCAAAGTCTGGTCTTCTGTTAACACTGATTTTCTAGATAAAAGTAAAAAAGTTGGGACATGGAGACAGTCTTTATGACAAATAATTGTTCTCTTTTATTAATGGAAAGAAGGAAATTATCAAAATATAGACGATGTTTAGAGACGAAAACTACAGATTTGAATACTAGGTATACTACAGTTAGGAGGTGTTCTTTAAAGTCCAAGGAGGTAATATTAAGATTAGTTGCCAGCTTTATATAATAGTCGTTATATGTTGCAGTCTCTCCCCAAATGATGTGGTTGTTGAAAGTATAAATAACTTTTTAAATGTGGATAATTTGTTACATGATTTTTCAGTCATTAAGAAAAATTGGGATGTTTCAGATCATTTCTTGAACTTTTGAAGTCTTCCCACAAATGCTCACTGATTCCATCATCTGCATAACACAATTCTTGCTCATAGTTACGCAAATGTTTATAAAATAAACAAGACAGTCGTCTGGATGGCACATACCTCTGAACCAGTATGCAGTATAAACAGTGTCTCCCTTTCCTATTATTAAAGAAGAAAATTATTTAATGGTACTTTTTAAAATATGATAAGAAAGACTTTATTTAGGACCCTCATAGTAGCTGTAGGAATCACTGCAATGGGATTTTGCTACAGGGGAGAGAGACTGGGCTCAACTCTGAAAACAGCATGGGCAAGTGGGAATTTATAGCCAAGAAGCAAGGAATTGGGGGCAGGGGGGGGGGGCGACGGGAGGCGGGAATCAGTGGTTGGAAAATTACTAAGAAGAAACCAGGGGTAAGAGATTCTGGCTAAAGTGACCTAACAGAATTCTTGCTGAAGACATGATCAGAATCATCTGGGAGAAAGTGGAGGATGGGGAACCTGATCAGATAGCAAGGATGATCAGGTAGCAAGAATGAGGGGTGCTTGCTAAAACTGGATTTTACGACTAAGTGCACAGATAAGCCTAGGCCTGACTAAAGTTTGATCAGGCAGAGAATCTTTGTAATCATCAAAAGATTCAGTTGAGAAACAGGATAGATTAAAAAAGTAACCAGTTTATTTTTCTTGAGAGAAAGAAAATACACTAATTCAAAATTAGGTAGCTAGAAAACATGAAATCTACATAACAAAGCAAAATCCTATAGTACATCTACTTAAAGGATAAAAATGGCAGAACAAAAGAATTATGAGGGGAACTGGAAAGTAGGAAAGACGAACCAACACTCAAAATGAGAAAGAAGGACATATAAGGAAAAAGACTACTCATGATAAAAAAGACTAATGGATTAACATCTCCATTGTGTGACATTTTCTTACAACTAAAGATGAACCCTGTGGTGCATTTTTGTAAATATGGATATAATGTGGAATATAACTTATTAGTAATTGTGTCTAGGTATTAAAAAAATCCAACCTCTTTTTATAAGCCTGATGTCTCTTGTTCTTTGTTCTAACTTTCAATTCTCAACAAAGGTAACTTTTACACACAAGATATCCAGTTGAATTAAACTATGGGGCAAAGAGCTCATTACAGTATGAATGATGGTAGATTTTACTGAGGCAAACCAAAAGATTTCTGAGCACAAGCAGTGTTGAAACACTCATTTTATGCACTGGTTAATAGCACAACTCTGGTTAAAGAAGTTTGAACAGTTCTTTAAATCTGCACTTCCCAACCCCTGGGCTGTGGACTGGTACCACCAGTCGGTGGCCTGTTAGAAACCGGCCTGCATAGCCCAAGGTGATCAGCAGGCAAGCAGCGAAGCTTCATCTGTATTTACAGCTGCTCCCTATCGCTTGCATCACCGCCTGAGCTCCGCCTCCTGTCAGATCCATGGCAGCATTAAATTCTGCATTATGGTGAGTTGTATAATTATTTCATTGTATGTTACAATATAATAATAGAAGTAAAGTGCACAGTAAATGTGCTTGAATCATCCCCAAAACCATCCCCTCCACCCAACCCCGGGGCTGTGGAAAAATTATCTTCCATGAAACCAATCCCTGATGCCAAAAAGGTTGGAGACCACTGCTTTAAATATAATAATTGAACTTAGCCTCCCTCCCTGCAGCTAAAGTAAGGTTTCTTAACCTGGTATCCAAAGGCCTTTTGGTAGGGCTCCAGGGAATTTGTGAACTACTGAAATTATGTACATAACTTCAAGTCTGTGTACTTTTTTCTTTCATTTGCCTTGCTTAACTCTGCATTTTGCCATCCCGTTTCTTTTTTGTTTACCCCATTCCGGAATAATCTTGATTGAGAATATGTCTATGAAAACTAGAAATATTCCCAAGAATGCTTTAGTTTTGTTAAACATCAAGACATAGATCAAAATGTGCTGTGGCGGGAGAAACAGAGTTGGGCTTTGCAGTGGAAAGACCTGGGTGTGAATCCTGGCACTGCCACTTGCTAGTCTGAACCTTGAGAAAATTAATCTCTCAGAGACCTCAATTCATACATCTAAAAGAGGACTACTAATATCTACATCTACAACAGATTTGTTCTAAGAAATAAAGATGAAGTATAAAAGCATCTGTGCTACACATTACCTGATATGTAATAGGTGTGCAGTGAATGGGAAACATTTAAAAGCTTCCATAGAACACAAATAGTAATTTAAGATATAAATCCCTAGAGGTAACTGCTATCTTTGATCACTATTATTCTTATGCATAAATAAGAATGCATTCATACATGTCTTCATATGGGCTGTGATAATTCACCTTTTCCCTGCAGTGCATAATAAAGATTTCTGTGTCATCACCAACATTTAGTATTGTCAGAATTTTTATATTTTGCTAGTTAATTGGTTTTAAAGTGCTACCTCATGTGTATAGTTAGCATTTCCTGCAGGGTAAGGATCTTTTCATATGTTGACTGCCCATATTATTCTTTCCTCTCTTTCCTATTGGTCTTGTTTTTTTCTTTTTGACTTGCAGGATACACATGCACACGTATATATTTACATATTCTGGATTTGAATTCAATTTTCTTTAATACTTTGAATATTTCCGTCTGTGGATTGTTCTGTCACTTTGTTTATATCTGGGTTTCTCAACCTCTGTTGTATTGACATTTTGGGTCAGATAATTCTTTGTTGTTTGTGGGAGCTGTTCTGTGCCTTGTAGGATGTTTAGCAACATCACTCACCTCTATTTGCTAGATGCCAGTAGCAGCCCTCTAATCGTGACAATCAGAAATGTCTCCAAAACGTTTCCTGGTGTCCCCTCGTAGGCACAATTTCCCCAAGTTGAGAACCGTTGGTATATAGTGAGTCTGTTGTGCAGAGTTATTTATCTTTCAGAAAATTTTATCTTGCTGACATTTTTTGAGTTTTTATTATAGGCCAGGCAAGACATAAGTGTTTGACATGAACAAAGCCTAACGTATTTACTCATCTCAACAACATATGACATAGGTGCTATTATTATCTCTACTTTATTATAGAGGAGAAATGTTGGTTTTTGGTATCTTCTTTCAGTATATTCTTCATTCAGTGTAATGTTCCTTCATTATGTTTTTGAGATTCATCAATGTGTGTAATTCAATCCTTTTTGTTGCTCAGTGGTATTCCTTTGTATGGATATATACCAGCATTTGTTTATCCATCTGCCTGTCAGT